ATGGCTTTTATGTTTCTAACATTCTGCATTTACTATATTTGATGTTTTGTTGTCAGCAGTTGGATAGCCTTGGATCCTTGCACACCATTGCTGAGCAGTAGGCACTGTTTTGGCATCAGAGCCATAAGCACTGCGAGATGGGTGCGGCAAAGTTCTGCAGGAGTGCCAGGTCCGTAGCCTGGCCACTCAAGTCTTCCTGCAAAAGAAGTGGAAAAAAGGGAAAACTGCAGGAGCAGAGAAGCTTTGTGCCTCTTCACCCTTGCCCTAGGGAGAAGTGTCCATTTTCGTAGGGAGGCACCCATGCTGAGCTCACTCAGCTGGACAGCAGGTCCATGGGGAGAATGGCGTCTTCCTGACAGAGCCTGAACCCCATGTGGTGAGCTCTGCAAAAAGTATGGAGTTAGGGGGGTGCTCTGCTTGACCACTGATTGATCCTGGTTTTTTTGGTTTTGTTTTTTTTTTGTTAGCCGAAGTTTAATTTTATATCTCAGTGCAAAAATTCAGAGCAAAATTTGAAGAACAAAATTTCATCGGTGTGATGAAGGGAACCTGTCAAGACATATGCATGAAATTGGTGAAGTGCTTGCTCAAGTGGGCACTTTAAATAGTTTTTGCTGAATTGAGCATACCATGGCGTGTATCAGGTTAGTTGGTGGAGGCTCTCCAACTTTTCCATCTTTTTAGATGATGTGCTGTGTCATGCTGAGGCATCTTTAAAATTTCGTTAGCAGCTCAAAGTTAAAGGGGTTGAGACTATGCTGTGGACTGGGAATGCATTCAAATGTAGAACAAGAGCAGTCAGATCTGCTGCTGCACCTTTGAGGGACTCTACAGCATTCTTTTTAATGCTACATTAGAAAAGAATTTATTTTTCTGTTATGGCAGAGTCACTTTTTAGCTTCACTTTTTTGCTGCAGTGTGTCACATTCATGTTTGAAGCACTGGCCTGGTAAGCAACAGCACAACCTGAAGAATTTGCTGGAAGGTCCATAAGTCCATTTGATCTCCCTTATTCTGAGTTTCAGCAGACCAGATATAAGCCTCGTTCAGTTTGGAAGTCTTTTAGTGGAGGACTAAAGTGAACCTCATAAACCTTATTGTGAGCAGACAGATTGGGTCTGTCAGAGCTCTTGTGCCTTGAGTACTTTCATCTAGGTTTGCTGGATTTAAACTTTCAAGCAGCGCACTTTGTGTGTAAACGGGGAATTCAGATTTTGTCTCTATACAACTGACCAAAGGAATGTTTGAAGTCTGAGGGACAGAGTAAATTCTCACAAAACAGAGAAGCTTCAGTCGTTTTCATCTTTCAGTTAAGCATGGATTGATGTGGCAATTGCCCACGATGGAGTGCTTTACCTCATGGCCTCCTCTGTATGTCTTTAATATGGCAGAGAATTTTGCTGGAGGAAAAGGGGAACAAGAGATATTTTAGTATGCATCTTGCCTTGCTTTTCCTAGTCTCTTGGGCTCTGCTTCTGCTGCCTTAGAAGAAGTTGTTTTCCCTGTTGGAGACAACCAGCTATGACCAAACAACAGCAGTAAGCAGTGACATGTGGACACTCAGCATGAGCTGCTGATGCTTAAGGAGGACCTTAAGCAGTATATTAGAAAGGGTACTAGGAGGTTTTATACCACTGGCTGGGCATCTTCCCTTTCCTGGCTTCTGTAGCTCTTCAGACTGTGCTTAGGCTAGGGGCACTTTCCAACATTAGATTTGGGCCTATTACCTAGGACAAATTCAAGACAGCACTTCATCAACTACTACTTTGTGAATTCAGTTGGAATAAAACTCAGTAACCACACACTAAGAAAGATGTTCTTCTCTTCTATGATGTCCTGTGCAGACAGAAAAAAACATTTTGCCCAAGTTCCCAAAATGCAGAGATATTTTGGACACTGGGCTATTCTATGAATAGGTGTGATTACTGATTATAACATTTTCCTTTTATTTGCATTTCCTCATCAGTGGGCTTCAGTGAGACCCAAAGAGAGGCATAAGGAAGTATGTACTGTAGATTGAAATCCATCATTCATATTAGAATACTTGTTGCAAGAGAATTGATTTGAGAGTTCACCTTTGGAGGAATCTTGCTTGGACATATCTGCACTGTATGAAAGGTATTTCTCACATGCATTCTGTCCTTGTCTGTATGATTTTGAGTGAATAATGCAGCTTCATAACCTAGTTCCTGTACCTTTTCTCCCTGTCTTTAATCCCAAATTATTGACTATGCATTCATCTATTTTACCTTGGCTTATGGATGTTGTACTGTTAAGTGCAGCAATAAACCATCTACGAGTACTGGTAAAACAATGTGGGAAACTCCTTAGACCTTCTTGTATGAGATTGAGATTAATTTTGGAGTACTGAGCTGGGAGAATTGCCCTTTCAAGTCTGCAGAAAAAGCAGCTAGCTGCCAGCTACAGAGCAATGGAAGTCCTTTGTTGATCTGCTACCACCAGAGTTAGCTGGTAAATGGTGATAAACGTGCCAGGAGCCAATTCCAACTTTGCTTTGTTTCAAATTTTTGTTTATTGGAGTTTGACCAAGCTGGAAGTTTGCAGAATAGTTTTTGTGTTGTTGTTCAGCAGGAATGAGCTTTTTTTTCTATCAATACTTTTATTTTCTTTAAGAAGTTAGTACTTTGACCTGCTTGGTCTATCATTCAGTTCTTAGCCTTGTTTCATCTTCAGGTGCTAAATCCAAGTCCACTTGCTTGGTAAATTCAGGAAGAAGAACATATCATATTATTGTATGCATCTATCACCTTTGTAGCAGTTGAACAGTTGAAACAAGTTGATTGTTTTCAACAGGCCCAAATAATACCCAGTGGCTCTTGGCTCTGAGGGTTTTCTGAAGCTCCAGAAACTCTCATCCAGGGCAATCCATGGCTTTAACACGAATCTGTAGCAGTGTCAGTGCTTTGGGAGGTGGGTGGAGAGTTAGATGGGAATATCGGCGTTTCTTAATTTGCCTGTTTTGGGAAAAGGTCTTTTTATTTTTTGAGGGGTGGTAGCTGCAGGAAATTCTGCAATCAGAGTTTTCCAAATGTCCATGCAGACTGGAAAATCCCTGATACCCACCAGCTAAACTCAATTATTAACATATTTCAAATACGTCAAACTGCCTTTGAACTCCTCTATGCAACATTGCATCTCCCAACAGCAAGCTAGAAAAGCCCTTAAGCATGTTATGAATTTTTCTTGGAGAAATGTGAAAGGTGATAAAACTCTTTGCAAAGAATTTATCATAGTTGCTCACACTTAGGAGTGAACAAAGGGCACTGAAGGCGCTCATCAGTGAATAGAGTAGACAGGGTTTTCCTCCTAATATTTTCAGTGACAGCCTTCAAACTTTCACTAGATGATATATGTGACCATGAAAGTGAATGGCAAGTTTACTGGCTGTAGGACTGGTCTAACGAGAAACTTTCCACCCGAATAAATCCTTCATTCATAATACTATCCTTTCTTTGTCTTTCATCTGCATGATTTGAAGGTTTCTGCCACCACAACTAACATTTTGCCTCCAAGTAGTCTATATTCCCAGTATCTTGAAAGTGCCAGCATGAAAACGGTGTGCCATGTTACTACAGTGACCAAACCCTTGAAGGGTTTGCACTTTCTCTCATATCAGTTTAATAAATTAATTTCTTCCATGCTATGGAGACCACAGTGTAAAATAGAGTTTCTGTTCAACTGAAGTATCACACTTTAAATCTCATTGATGTTCTTAGACTCTGCTCAAATTGTCAGAGGGTTATTTATGTATGACACAACTGTCTTTCTAAATACTTGTAAAGGTGGCTTTGAAGAGAAAGGTTTGGATTAACCTTTAACATAGGAACGTTTTCAGTTTTGTAACCATTCCAGTAACATTTGAAAGCACTCCAGTGCCAATTAACTGGAAGCTAATAGTTTTGCCAGTGGAGAGAAAGTTGTAAGTGCTGTAAAATATGTCATTGAAGATGATTCACATTGCAGCATTGCTTCACACTAAGGTAGCTAAATCTCATCCTGCTGTAAACATTATGATTATTACTTCTCTGGTGTTTATATTAAGCATGTGTGTGCAATCAGTCCAACCCTTGGAGAAAAAAAAAAGCCAAGGAATTCCTCTTAAGAATTTATACTGCACAAGGTTATGATTTTATTTCCTTAGACTTCCAGTAGCTCTTTCATAAGTGAGTAATAGGTCCAAAAGATAGGAAGTTACTGTGTCTGTCTTCTTTTCTTGAAGACTGGAGAAAGAGGAGAGGATAATTTTTTATTAAATCTCCTGGTGGTTTCTTTTATTTACCACAGCATCCCATTCTTAACTTCTACTTTGCCTCTATCTAAAAAGAAAAACCAGAAGCTCAGCAATTATTCTGAGTGGATTTGGGAAAATGTAGATCATTTTTATCAAGGGATGCATGGGAAGTGGATGTAAATTATGGATAAATATCTGTATCCAGCATATCTGTCTGACGCAAATGCACTCCTCAAAACCAAATGTGGAGTGCTGGAATCTGCCAAGTGAATTTCCAACTCATTGTGAATGACACTTTTTATTACTAAAGAGTCTGTTTGACATGCAGTACTCCCAAGTCACCTGTTGAAGTCTTAATAAAATTTCTTATTATCTTTTTCCTGGTGTCTAATAAGAGATGAACTTTCCTGCAACAGATGGGTAAATTGTCCTCTCTCCTCCAATGTCCTGCTAGTTTTCATTAAACTTTTAAAAACTTAATATCCTCAAAAATGTGTGAAGAATTTTTTTCCCTGTTTAGATAAAATTAGCAAGTGTTTTCAGAGAGCTAATGAGAAGCCAGGAAAAGCAGACAAATGAGCACAATGCTTGATAACAGAAGTTGTAGAAAACCAGACCAAAATTTTGCTTCAACTTCTGTTAATGTAACCGGGGTGTGGTGGTTTGGTGGTGAAATAAGAAATCATGTGTTGAACTGTAAAATATGTAAACCTGATATTTTAGAGTTAATCTCTTGTACCTTTTGCAGGTGGAGATTTACATTTTACCTTTATATATTTACCTATGGAGTACGGTTCCTGAAAAAGGTAGGCACTTATATTATTACTCTTTCATAACATATCACAGACTTGAAGTCTTGTACAGTTATAATATAAAGCCCAGGCATAAAGTCTATGTTCATGAGGAGTGAAAATTAGAATTTAATTTGCATTCATAAAATGCTTTGCTACTAGCATTGGTAAGGAATATAAGTTCTTATCAATATTTAATGGGATTTTAAAAGAATAAAAAGGCATAGCAACATGCCTAGTTCACTTGATTACTTTTCATTATAGGTATTAAACTGGCAGTAAGGCTTACTACAGTATTAATATCGATTTCACCATCATCCTTGCTTAAATGCTTCTGGCAGAGGTTATTTTTTATTAGCAAACAAAATGCATTAGTGTTTTAGGAAAAAAAAACATTTTTTGCCTGTACTTTGTCTATTGTAATGTGGAAGGAGGTTTTTGTGAAGTTTCCCATCAGTGCTGTGTTTCACCTGGTTTAAAAAGAGAAGGGTATTGAAAGCTTCTAAGCACTCTGACATGGGTCTATTAACCCTGCAGTAGAGAGTAGTATGGATTTGTGGTGCAAACCGTTTTTACAGTGTGACTAGTTCTCAGAGCTCCTGAAAGTTGGGCCGTATTTCTGTAATTCTAGGAGGTGAAATTAGGGGAGTGGTGCACTCAGTGTGTTCATGTAATCTTTGTTTTGGTCAAAAATTTGACACAATAAAATGTATCCTGAATGTTGCTGGTGCTAAGTAAAAAGAGGTTTACTAATCTTTCTTATGTCAGTAGTTCTTGAGGCTGTCTCAGGTGCAAGGCAACTTGGTGTGAGCAGGAATAACGATGTGCCTGTGCAGGGAGGGCACATCAGAGGTGTTCTCAGCTATTTAGCAGTAGTCAACCCCGGGGGAAGTGTGGGCCAGAGCAGCATGCAGTTGCATTCTTCCTCTGTCTCCTTGAGCACTTCCATTTTATGTGTACTTCATCCATTAACATGCTGTATGGTCGCTTGATCCTGTAGCACTGTGTGTTTCAGAGCATGCCCTGCGGTGAGATGGCTGATGTACTGAGGGGATGAAATAGGTCATCTTAATCAGGATTTGAACTCACCTGTCTCATTTTACCTGTGTTATGAGTAGAGGGAATCAGTGTAATTGTGGGTTAAGTGTTCAAGTTGTCCACCTTCTACCTCAAATGCTATTTTCAAGAGCAGATTTGGTGATGAGTGTTCTTCTGTGTTAGGAAGTGGACCAAGGTACCAACTTTGAAAGAGAAGATGAAGCTTTCTTTGTTACTAGCTGCCATCTCCAGTCTTCACTGTTTTTTAGATCAGGTTTAAATTATTTGTGAGTGGCCACACTCACAATTATTTGTGAGTGGGCACACACAAGATCATTTAATGTGAAACATTCACCTTTCCATCTAATCCTCATTGCCTCCACTCTTGGTAAAATGGCAAATGCTGGATGTGACCATCCCCATCTTAGTTTTGCTGACTTCTGAATGAGATGTTTTAGCACTGACGGACTGAAGCCAGCATTCACTACAGCATTCTTGGTGTCTTTATAAATCACTAATATTTGAAGCATAAAAGATAAGCAACCAATTATATTTCCACTTTGATCATGTATATGCAAGTTCTTTCTTTTCTGAATGAAACTGAGATTTTTCAGCTCTACCATTTTTTTCATTTGCATGTCTACAAAACAGTTCTTTGCAGAGTACCACACCAGTAGTCATGTCAACAAAATGTTAAGTTCCAGTAAACTGACTGCTTTGCTTATCATTAACACAGGAATGAGATAATGTTTTTGTTTTCCTCAGTAATATTTGTAGTTAAGTAAATGGTGGCTTTGCTCATTAAGAGTTAATGGTCTGACTGTGCTCCAATTAAATGGAAAAAATATCATTATCTTTGGTGATAAAGAAACAGAGCAAAGAGTTCCGGATTGGCTTGTTTCTTGCTTGCTCATCCTTGGTGCTAAGCAGTGCCTGTATAATGCTGTACAAGGAAAAAGCAAAGCTTCCAGGTGACATATATAGACTTCTCACATTTAATTTCCTTCCTTTAATTGCCCATGAGAATTACAAACTCACAGAAGAGGATGAATTTTCTGTGACTCTTGAAGTCTATACTGAGACTTGGAAACCTGAAGTTGCATGTAGGTATTCTACTGGGAAAAGAATCATCTCCCTGGATAAACAAATCCTGCTATTTTTCAAATTCAATGTTGAAGTAAGGCAGATGATATGAGTATGCTGTGGCTATATTTAAAAAATGCTGGGTGCAACAAGCTTGTGTGTGTATGCAGCTGATGGAGTGTCCTTCCTAATGAGTCATCCCCTATGGAAGAACTGAGAACTGTCTGGTGGGTAGTTACAATTTCTAGTGCAATCTAGCTTGCAAAAGAACAGGGAAAAAACCATGTTGAAGTGTAAATTTGACTCCAAAAGCCTACTCAAGGGACATAAATGTATGGAAGGCAAATAAAAAATAGCAGGGTGGTATGAAGGAAAAAATCCCTTCATACAGGTAGATCTCCACTTCTTCTGTTGAGAAAGTCCCCCTTTCTTGAAACTATAGGATGTTTCAAATGAAGAAATTGAAGTGTTTGTCCTCTTGTGTGCACTAACCACTAAGCCAATGAGCTTCTGTGTGACAGCAGGAGATGTTCTGTTAGTGGCCCACAGTTTCTGTGTGCACATTGAGAGAAACTGGCTTCCTGCTTTTTTGTGCGAGAGAATATTGCATTCTGTTGCTCAGCTGAGTTGGCTGACTCTTTGCCTCTTTTTGGAATAAAACAGCAGCAGCGATACATGCACATGTTACAGCCCAGAGAGAGTAGTATAGAATTTGTAAATGCCATTTCAGATTGCTTGTACTCCAGAATTTTAGAGCCTGAAGTCAGATCACCTTCATTTGAAATACAAAAAAGAACTTGTCAGTAAAGTGGTGGCTGGTTATTGACATTGTTTCTGTATTGCAGTTCACCCGCTATTGAGATTGTTAAACATAGATGAAGAAAATAACGATTGTTATGCACGGCCACTTCATAAAATTAAATTGCTGTATTCAAAATGTCTGGTACTCTAGACAGTTTACAGTCTTTGTAGCAGTAGGACCGACTTAATTTTTTCATAAAAGTTCGTCAGCTATTGGAAAGCTATTTGCAGAACACATTGCATGTTACATTATTTGGAGTAGAAAAAAAATACCTGCATCAGAATATTCAGTATTTCATTTATTGTTTCCATCTTCTGTTGCCCTACCTGCTGCATCTACTTTTTCGTGAAACTAATGCTGCTGCATATTTTGTGGAACAGAACAATAAAAGAAATGCAGCATCTTGGAAAAATTCATACCACTGTTTGGATTATGTCTGATCATTTGATTCATAGAGTAAGACTCCTTAAAGCAAGCTGATTTTTTTTCTGGTTTTAGCGCTGAGATACCAAAGCATGAGTTTGGAAAATATCTTCCCCCTTGGTTTAAATCAGAACTGACTCTAGAAAACAACACTGTGGCAAAAGCTAGGAAGCAGGGGGTTTACCTCCAGAGCTCTTGGTGTCTTTCACTCTTGAATCAGTTGAAGCAGGCATTCTGCTGGGCACTTTCTCTGCTCTAGTCTGCATCTGCTGTGATGTTTCCTTCCCACGTTCTTCCCGAAAGGTTGTTATATTATCTTTTACTGAAGCCTTGTAATTCCTTTTGTTCAGTGAACTTGTTTGCCCAATGCTGGATAAATATTCTCATTTAAATGAAGAATGCCAGAGGCCACTGTGGAGCCCTTTTAACACAACGCTGATATTTGATATTTTACTGTGCTATTAGCAGAGGGATAATGTGATACATAGGCCACTAAGGAAGGAAATGAAGCCCGCATTTGGTAGATTGTGCTTGCTTTAAATTTGATTTGGATTCTCTGGAGGGTTTGATTGCCTTTTTTATTTTTTGCTTGTAATACCAATTGCTGAGTTTCTGTAAGTGATGGAAATTTTTAAGCTAAAATCAGCATTTTGGATGTTAAAATTGAATCATAATCTTTTTCCTTTCCATGGAAGCAGGGCTGAACATTAGGTGATAAATAAAACAATTTCTAATTCACTGAGTGAGTAAGAAAGAATACCCATGCTCTGGAGTCTTTTGAAGAATGCCATTGTGAGAAAGGGGAAATGCCATATTCCATTTTTAAATAAGCATCACAAGTGGAAAAGCTTTCCAGGAAGACCATAGTTAGATGCCATCTCATGGAAAAGGAATTTGTTTCAGATTTATCTTCAGAAGGGCATAAAAATTATTGAGAGCATTTAGGAAAGATTAATAGAGTGTTTTGGATGCTTGAGATATAAATCATGAGTCATGCTGTGAGAAAGACCAAAGCTACTGGAGAAACTTAGTTTTAAATGACTGCAGCACCTTGGTGTACATCAACATTTTGGACAATGAGGCTTTGTAAGAGAAGGCAAGTCAGCGTAGGAAGTAATTCACTGTGTAAGCTGTTGGAAGTTAAGATAATAACTGTATCAGGCAGAAGAGGACAAAGCTAAGCAAGCTGGCAGAATTTATTTGTGGCTGAAAGGAAACTGAAGGGTTTTGAAACAAAAAGCAAAAGGAGAATATCAATGGTATCCTAATTCAGTAATAGGATGGCAACAGGACTTTCAAGTGTATACAATGGGGACAAATTTTACATAATCATGGGAAGGAAAAGCAACACACTAATTCAAAAAATGCATCTAGAATTGAATTTCACTTTATCTGTTTGAATCCAGCTGGGGGTATTTAATAACATCAGAGTAGTAAGTAAATGCTATGTAATCATCAAATTGGCAAGTTAAGCTGGTACTGAGCCATAGACAGCATCTCTGCTGCTTGTGCATTGCGCTGTTGTTTGGGGCAGTGAGGGGGGCTGCCACACCTCATATCTCCCTGTGGACTGGTTGCTAATTTTGCCTTCAGCACAGTATTCATTTCCTTGGCAGCCCAGCTTTCTGAAAGACTGAAATTTTTTCAAGGTCATACCATAAAAATAGCA